ATAGGCCTAACTTTAGGAGCCCACTTAGACTGCCTCCTGAAATGAGACAAGCATTTAACTGAACTGACCAATTTTCAGAGATAAGAGACAACTTCAGTGAGATGGAGCAACTTGCACTACTTGACTATGAAACTTCTTATTTAAAGTATCAAAGGTGGGACTGAGAGCAGCAGTATTTGTTACACCCAAATGTGTTTCTTAGCATGTGGATTATCTTAAGCTGTTTATTTTTAAGAAACAGCAGACACAGGTAAAGCTCTGAGAACTGAGTGGAAGTTACCCTTTTATAAGAGATACTTATATTTATAAGTATATTTACAAATTTCCATTTGTAAAGGTGTCTCTCTCCTTCACTGTGTCTGGAAGAAGTGGATGATTCAATCTCTAGAAACTCAATAGAAAAGACTAGGCATTAGATCTGCATAACAACCATCACCTGGTTTACAGTTTTCCTAGGTCTGTCCCATGTATACAAGAAGTGTTCCTAAACTTTGTTTTCTCCTGTTAATCTTACAGCAATTTAATCACTAGCACCTAGAAGGGAACAAGGGAAAACTTTTCTAACCCTTCATGCCACAAAACTAATACTTTCTGATCGATCTCCAATGAGGTAAATGAGATATAGTGATTAAAACTTAGAAATGTAAGAAAAAAGAGGCACTTTCTAGATTTCTCTCTGCTTCTTTGCAGAGATACTGTGAACTAACTCAAGGATTCTCTATAGAAACAGTGTATCAACCACTTCCATGTTTACAAGGTTTTATTTTGCTTTATTTAGTGAGTATTTTCACCTTGGTTAATTTCTAAATTTGAATAATTGAAGCTCTATTAGATACATTCTTCTTAAAGAATTGTTGCTTTCTCATTCACATCTGGCTTTTTCTCCTGTAGAAAGAAAAAAATTATCTAAATAGGCAGTAAGACTATCCCTCCTCATTTAATTATCTGTCCATCTTCTTTCTGGGACAACGCAAAGACTAAAATTAATCCCCCTAAATGTGGGTCCCGTGTTCCGGTGCCTTTGAATCATTTCAGTATTCGGAACAGCACCTGCCTCATGTTTTCAACATGTTATTTGACTCCCTTCACTGTTCCTCTCAAGAAAAATGTCTTCCTTGTCAAAGTGTGATATGTTTTTAACTGATGCCACGAGAGCTTGAAACCAATGCTCCTTCTTTGTGTCTGCGGGCACCCACGATGCTTCCCAGAGTCTGGGGGTACTTTCTATTGGACCGAACCCCAGACAGACTCCAGCCCTCACCTCTGAGTTCCAGCAGGCGGCCTGTCTGGGGCCGGCGGCCCAGCTCTTTGGAAGGGAGCAGGTTGAGCTTGCTGGAGACCTAGCAGCAGCGCCCGCATCGCGGCCTCCTCAGGACGGACTGGAGCATCCCTGCTCGGTCGGTTTCCGGAGGCCCGGCGCCCCGCCGTGCCCAGTTGAGGCTCCAGCATTTCTTCGGCTGGAGTCCCCCGGCGGCCGCTGCTCCGGGGCCAGGAGGCACACCGCTCTGTGGACTTGATCTGCAGCGCTTGGTGGAAAAGCCGCCGGGGTCAATGCTTCGTTTTGCTAGCGCGCAGGCGGCGGGGCTGCCCCCGGACCGAGAACGCAAGCATCCCCGTGGCGGGCCGCGGTCCCGGGAGCTCAGTATGGTCTCGGCCGACTGGAGACCCGCATACAGGGTTAGCGGAGCGGAGCCAGCTTAGCCCGGCTCTAGTCCTTTGGACCTTCTTGGCCGCCCTTGCCCCGGGAGAAAGCGGGGAAGGGAGACACAGCGACTCCAGGGCGGCGCGCTCTCTTTCCGCATGTCGGGGTGGGGGCTTGACTGCGGTGGTTCTCTGCGCCCGGGGTGGGAAGGACCTGCCGGGTCTCAGCCCTAGCGATCCATTCGTTCTCTGCAAACACCGCTAGCGCTCCTCCCGGACGCGGCCCTCTAGCTCTGTTAGCTGGAACAACCCAGGTCCCTTCCTGCCCCTAGGCCCTGCTATTTCAAGTATTCTAGGGAAAATATGTGCACCGGCGAGGTGCGGGCCAGGGCAGGCCGGGCAACTCGCGAAACGGGCAGGCACAGGCCGCCTGGACGCAGACACATTTGTCCCCTAAGGGTTTCCCCAGCTTTACTGATCGAAGGGGTGGGGTAGGGGTCTATTCCTGTTTCTCAGATATATTCTGAAATAGAGTCGTTTGGGAGTGAAAGTCCGTATGATTATAATATGTCCATAGCAGTCGCCTTGTGTCCAAAATGGGTATGGGCACTCACTGCGTAGACACTGGGATCCCCAGAGAGGTGGATTCTCTCGGCTCTAGGGTTTATCCTTGTTTCTCGATGGACCAAGTCTCCGAATTCCCCCAGGAACGTCTCAGTAAGTAAGTGTGTGTGTGTGTGTGTGTGTGTGTGTGTGTGTGTGTGTGTGTGTAATGGTTCCCATGAACTGACAGTTTGGTATTTAACAACAGATGAACTCAGGTACAAATAAGTCTGTACTTGTTGATACACCTTTTCTATGGATAAGAATGAGATTTCTGGGATCTCCAAAACAATGTAGACCTGATAAGGGATAGTATTAACAATCTTCATTGAAAAATCTATACTTCTGTTGAGACTCTATGGACATTCTAGTTAGCAACTCAGTGAGACTTTTCATAATATAACACTTGTCATATTGTATATAATACATTTGCAGGTGACTCTTCATCACAAGTATAAGCTTCTTCAAGGCAGGAATAGTTTTTATTCACCTTTGATTTTTTCAAACCAAGCAGTGCCAGGGTATAAATACTCAGTAAATAATGATTAAGTAATTACACCACTCACCCCTAGTCCTTACATTTCCTGTAGGCTCTAAATGGAGGCATGGGGAGGTAGACCTCAAAGATAACAAAGTGAAGGACTTTGTCATCTATGCTGAGGGACATTTGCAAGACCTTAATAAGGCTCAGAATCAATTTGCTAATCAAGCCTCTTTGGTTTTAGGCAGCAGGAAGGAATGCCCTACATTCTGAAGATATATTTTTAAAATCAGTATTTGGACATATTTCTCTTTTCATGTATTTTCCTTTCTTTTTTCCCTTTTTCTTTCTTTTTATAGATTAGGTGTGGTATAAACCATTACACTCGAAGTTGAAAATATGCCTTGCTAACCTTTTGATATGTATTGTTGGATTTACTGGTACATTTAGCTAATTTCGTATTCCTCACTTTTTAAATTTTCACTGTAATCCTAAAATAATGTAAATTGGAGAAAGCTAGTTTTGGATGTCTAAAATACTTCACTTGGGAAAGTGAGCTGCAAATATTAAAATCTATTAAGCTTCCTTAATTGTTGCTTTTTCAGCTATCAATGATACCTTTAAAAATATGCCTGGTCCTTAGCCTTTGAATGTACTCCCCAGATTCTTCCATAAGTAAATACTTGAGGAACTTATCTGTTACTATGTAGTAAGAGTACATATACATTGTACTAATATTTTAGCTGATACAGTTTTTCATAAGGGGTTCATTTGTGTCCATTCATCTTATATAATGGCATTTAACAGATGTTGCCACTACTGATACTTTACAAAACATTTATGCTGAACAACATACTATATAATTTTCTGTAGCTACTAGAAATCTCTGGAAGAGGATGCTGCACAGAGAAGGGATTCATCTTATTTGAACTCTTGTACTAGAAAAATTTATTTCACTTGGAATGATAGTGAAAAGACTAGGTGCCTGATCAGTATCGTTTCTGCATTTCTGAGGACCACTCAGTTTTAATAAAGATATGCAACTTGTCTAATTTTCTACTACTAGCAAAATATTCATTTTATTATTCTGAACTTCAGGACCAAGGATTTGACTTTTCGGTAGTACCTCTTCTACTGTTTTGTTCAAGGGTCAGGTATTCATTCCTTCCACGTTGTAAATAAAATATGGTTGAGAATGCCGTATCTATTTGCAGCGTCAGGAAAAAATGCTGTTGAATTTATAATCATTCTTGATAACCTTGTTCTTTTATTTTAGCATCAATTTCCCCTCCTCCGTTGTGATTTTTAATGGAGTTACTGCTGTTTTTTTCTTGACCTATTTTCTTTTCAAAGGCTTTCCTATAGAGTGTCTTAAGTGATGGTGATTTCTGTAGCGTGTAAAAGTCTTTAAATCATAGTGAAACAGATTAGTTGGCTGTCACTTATTGTAGAAATGTTTCGTGATTTAAAAATCATCTGGTTACAACGTCCACAATTTCACAGAGTGAAATCTTTTAAGCTATGCTTTACATGAAATCGCTCCGTTCTCCAGACAGAGGATTTCAACCTCATTCTGTTCTGATCCAATTGTTATTTTTCTTTGTTGCCTCCACTCCCTAGAGAATTGCGTTTCTAGGGGAGACACATTCTTGGGGCCGAAGGGGAGAGTCAAGGCGGGCGAGATTTGGTACCGTAGGCACTAGATTCCTCCTCCCCCGCCTGCTAAGAAGTCAGAGACGATTTTGACAGTCCATAGTCGCACTTTGGCTCTCACGCTTGTGGTCCATGGGTAGGTTTTACCTTCTCCCTTTTCCCCTGCCTCTGGCTTGCCCGCAGGCCACCCGCAAATGCAGCAATTGCCCCAGCCCATCCAGAGCTTTCTCTCACCCGTCCTCTTGGGAAACTAGGACATATGTCCGTAGAAGACTTCGGGTACTGGGGAAAGCCAAGCCGGAATCGGGACATTCGAGAGGGCAGCCCCTCCCCAGACTTTCTCCCCTTACGGTCGCGGCGCCCACGTGACCGAGAGCTGGCCTCCACCGGCCCGCCCCTTTCGGCCGCTGCAGCCCACTTCCCGCTCGGGGTAAGTAAACCGCGGTTTTCCGCACCGCCCCAACCCCGCCCTCTTCCTTTCCCCTTCCCTTCACCACCCTCGGGCTCCCTCGCGCCAATCTCCCCGCTCCCCCATCCACCCCACCGGGCCCTTTGTACGTGCTCGGCGGCGTGCGAGCGCGCCCGGCACGTGACCCCGCCGAACGTGGCATTGTGTTATCACGTGACCCAGGTGCGTACGCGACGGAGCGGGGTGTGAAGATGGCGGACGAAGAGGCCGAGCAGGAGAGGTTGAGTCGCGGCGGAGGCGGCTGCGTCGCGGAGCTGCAGCGCCTGGGCGAGCGGCTGCAGGAGCTGGAGCGACAGCTGCGGGAGAGCCGCGTGCCGGCCGTGGACGCGGCCACGGAGTACTGTCAGCAGCTGTGCCAGGTGAGGGCGCCTAGGGGTCCCCTCCCCCTTTTCCCCAGCAAGAGAGGGGAAGAGGGCGAGCGAGCGCCTGGCGACCGAGCGGTGGTCGTCGCTTCTTTGGCATCGTTGGCGCCGCCGCCCAGGCGGGAGCGGGGAGTACGAGGAAGGCGCCTTTGTGTGTCTGCCGTTGTGGCGGTTGTTGTCGGCAGTTCTCGACTGGGGGAAGGGAGTTGTGGTCAGGGCGGAAAATCCCCCCGCCCCTTTCCTTCCCCGAACTCGGGACTGCGCGGTCCCAGAGGTTGAAGAGATGTAGACGGCCGAAGCCTGGAGCCCTCTTCGCCGCAGGGAGAGGGTAAGGGAGGAATGGAGGCCGGGTTCTCCCCCCCCTTTATTGTGCACTGGGGATTACCGCGCCCCCCGCCTCTGCGCCTCTGGTTTCCCACTCCGACGGGCCTCCGCCCCCACTGGTTTGATTCCTTTGCTTCCCCCTGCTTTCATGCGTCCCGCCCCCGGCCCCGTCCTCGCTGTCTCCCGGCCTTTGTTGTTCGAGTTTCGCCTTAGGACTGAAGGGGCCTTTGTTGACGTTCTGGGAGCAGTCCCCGCCGACCCCTTGTAGCTAGCCGAGACGTTCGGGGGTGGGGGGCGCAGAGGTGGTCTCTTCCTGTCTTTGCTTGCTTGGTGCACCACTTACATGGCGAAGGTTGCTCTCCTCGGTAGTGGAGAGGAGCTCTCCGTGTATCCTACGGTCGAAATGTTTTTGTGGGGCGGCTTTCCAGAGTCCGCTTCTCTTCTGCTTTCACCCTTCGAGGAGTACAGTTGCCTCTGCCCTTCCTCCCCCATCTCCCCACCACCCTTATTACTTGGATGCTTCCCTATTTGGCCTTCTGGTGAAAAGGAGAGAGGATTGAGGTCGTTGTGGACCTATGCTCAGGTCAATTTCAGACCTTTACTTCCTTTTCTTGCACAAGGACACTGCTTTCCAGTAACGGCGTTCTAATCAGGATTTGGAATGCTAATAACAGTGCTTGATAGCCATCGGAGAGTTTGAGTCTACATTTGGATTTAATTACAAACCCTCCAGTTACGTTTGAAATTTCAAGGTGCTGCTGCTGCTGGCTGTGGGGAAGATTTTGGCTAGGTTGTCGTCTTGAGGAGGAAAAAGACCATGTCTGTAGGTCACATTGAGAGTTTACTTGTGAATGTATCATTGTAGAGAAATTGTTTTGGAAAGATATTGAGCTTAAGCCGAACAATGGGAGGACCATTTTAGGATATTAGAATGGATTACATTTTCACCTAATTTTTCGTACCCAAGTTCTGAAATCTTTCCTTTATAAGATCAGGGATACTTGAACTCCTACAAAAAATTCAACATGCACGTTATTGTCACTAATTACTTGGTGGTAGTTCATTCATTATCTTAAAAACCTTGTGAGATTAAGTGGTGACTTTTCTAGCAGTATATGCAATGTGAAAGCTCCCCACTTAAGGTAATATAGGTCTAGTGAATACCTATGGCAAAATTAAAGATTCCATCATTCCTTTGAATCCTTGTTTTAAAGAATTGTTGAAATTTGCCAGTTTGACCTATCTGGGAGTACCAAATCATTGTTAATTGATCTTTCAGATATATTTATTTTAGATACAAAAGAATACTTGACACCTTTAAGAGGAAGTCTTTCATTTATAAGTAAAGTCTGATATTTAGTCTTTGAAAAGTATTAAAGTCTAGCTTTGCTGGAAGATACTTTTCAGATAGCAGTGTCCACTGATGGGTTTAAGACTAATTAATGTAAACACACTTGGCCAGCAGCATTTTAAAGCAAGATTAGTAATTCTGGGAAGAAGGAATTTCATGCAGGTTGGACTTAATTTTGAGTATATGCAACATCATAGTTACCACTTTCAAAAGTATTTTTAATGGATGAAGCAGCATTTCTTTTTATCAATATGAAAGGAATTTCCTGTATTCCTTTTAAGCAATTGGCCTTATAATATGTAAATAGTTTTTATTGACCAATGCTACAGGAAACATAATAAAACAAATATTGGGTTTGTGAATTTCAAGAATCATTAAATATTTCATGCACTAAAATGCATTTAATTTAAATGCATTTAAAAGTAATCTCCATTACTTGAACAGTTACAAAATGTATCTAATATTTGATCTCTCTAAAACATACTCTCTTGTTTCTTTTTTTTTTTTTTTTAAAGTAACCTGTTTGTTTTAGTGATCTCCTCAAATGGGAGTAACTTGAAACATAATTGTTTCTTTAAAATTGTATCCTAGCCATTATTACTTAACATTCTGATAGGAGTTGAGCAAAGCAGTTGTTAACAAAGCATTTATTGGAGCAATCTAAAAACAGTATTTGAAATGCTGGGAGCTAGAAATTATGTTCTGATTTCAAACGTTGAAATTAGCTTTTTCAATATAAGTGTTTCTTGTAAAACTGGGATATTTACGTGCTTCAAAAAGATTTGTCAGTGGGCTTCAGAGTTAATATTCTATACGTGTTAACACTTAGTGCTTGTGTAATCCTAACTTGCGTTTATTTTAAAAAATGAATTAGTTTTAAAAATGAATTGACTTATATTTTGAGTTTTTATCTCAACAAATGTTTCTGGAGAATATAGTGAAACCTACATAAGTAAAAGTTGCTTATGCATTCTAGTTAATAGATTCTCTTTTTTTCCTTTTGAATGAAGTACAGTAGATTGACTTCTGAGAAGTAAAATAAAAACAAAAGACATTAAGGTTTTTTTTGTTTTTGTTTTTGTTTTTTTTTTTTTTTTACTGTTAACAGTACTGTTTTCTTTATCTTGAGTTGGAAGTATGCCCCCCGCCCCACTTTACTTTTATACCTGAACATTTGCTTTAACTTAAGTAGGAGGAAGGAAAGGTGGGAAAGGATGAGCAGAAGAGAGGGCCTGTCAGAAAATAAAATATTTCCTTAAAATTTCCAAGCTAGCTTTAATCTGAGTAATGTAATTGACTTAATAATTTTCTTTTTTTTTTCTTTTTTTTTTTTTTTTTTTTTTTTTTTTTTTTTTTTTTTTTTTTTTGGTTTATTTACTTTGAGAGAGACAGAGAGAACCCACACTGGGGAGGGGCAGAAAGAATCCCAAGCAGGCCCTGTACTGCCAACACAGAGCCCATTTCTGGGCTCCAACTCCCCAGCCATGAGATCCTACCTGAGCAGAAGTCTGTCACTTAACCAACTGAGTCACCCAGGCGCCCTGACTTATTACTTTTCTTAAAATCCACTTAGAATAAGAATATAGGATAACCAGAAGTAATTTTTTGCATTTATTTGTGTCAGGATAATTACTGTATATAAAAATTGATTATAGTTAGAACTTCTTTGACTATTTTTTGTGTTAGACTTGGTCAGTATTCACTCACTCAACATTGTTAATGAAAACCTATACTGTAGGCCAGGCAGGTCTGGTCCCTGGCTTCAAGGAGCCTACAGTCTCTGAAGGAAGGTAAACAACTAATTGTAGTTAACTGTGATTTGTATCTTTTCTATTTCTGAGATCAGTGTAGTACAATGGAAAGTTATTTATTTGGGAGTTTAAACAGAAGCATTTCAATAGAATTATTCTTAAAGGATTTTAGAATAATTTAAGAAGTTAAGCCATTGTAGTAGTTGGAAGAATGATTTGTTGGGACATAATGTGTGTTGACAGCATTATATTACTGGGCTGGATGACTGGTTGATTAATACATGAATTGTGGCTGGTTTTGGTCATTTATCTTCTGGTGACCGATGATTGTTTAAAAAGATTGAATTGCACTTGTCGAAATAGGTTTGTATTTTGTATCTGCATACTTTCATTCGTATAAGCAGCGTTTCTCAACTGGCATAGTCTTTTTCCTACTGAAGCTCTTGAAAATCGGTGGGGTCAGTTGTTTATCATCTGCAGCATCGGTGGATGTGATAGTGGCATTTGGTGCCCATGGACGCAAATTTTCTGAGGTGCTCAGGACAGCCCCACCCCACTGAAAAGTATTCCTCTGCCTAAATACCCAGAGTATTCTTTTCAGGAACACAACAGAATGAAAAATAATATATTAAGAAGATTTTTTAAAGTTATGCTCTTTTTATGTTAAGGTAATATAGTTATCAAATGAAGAAATGTAGTTAATCTGGAACAGGTCTGGGTAAATGCTGACTGTATTTAAATTCACACTGAGCTTGAGGTCAAAATTTCTACTTCCTTTGTAGAAATTACAAGCAATTACTTAAACAATAACTAAAACAATTCATTTTTACTAAGGTAAGAGGGTAGCAATTTCAGCATCCTTTATTGTCCTGATTAAAGCAGAGATTTGACCTTTTGATATTAAAATTCTGCGCTTTTAAGAAAGCATTTAATGCAGACTAGTTTTAGCTGTTTAGCAGGGGATATAAGATACAGAAGATTCTAGTATATAAAATAATAAGATTTAAATAAAACTTCAAAAAGACAGTTGAAGAAGTAAAAAAAAAAAAAAAAAAAAAAAAAAATAAAATTTTTTTTTTTAAATTAATGGTAATTACTTCTTTGCTTTATTTGCCATTTCTTTTTTTTTTTTTTTTAATGTTTTTATTTATTTTTTTAGGAGAGAGAGAGACAGCGTGAGCAGGGGAGGGCCAGGGAGAGAGGGAGTCACAGACTGAAACAGGCTCCAGGCTCAGAACTGGCAGTCAGCACAGAGCCCGACGCGGGGCTCGAACCCACGAACCGCGAGATCATGACCCAAGCGAAAGTCGGACGCTTAACCGACTAAGCCACCCAGGCGCCCCCAGATTTACTTTTTTAATTCTGTTTTTTAAATTGAAAATGTACTGAAATGTTTTTTTTTATTCAAACAGAGAAAGGGCATACAACCAAAACTTGATCTTCTAACCCCAGACCTCCTGTCACCCTCCACAGAGACAGTCCCCCAATAGTTTTTATCCATCTTTCCAGAAATATATATTTGCCCCTTTTTAAAAGATGGGACATATTGCATACTGCCTCTTGCTTTTATTTGCCAAAAAATGTATCTTCGAGATCATTCCATAGTTGCTCATGTAAACCTGTATTTTCCTATTTTTAATGTTTATTTTTGAGAGAGAGAGTGAGTGAGCAGGGGAGGGGCAGAGAAAGAGAGGAAGACACAGAATCTGAAACAGGCTCCAGGCTCTGAACTGTCAGCACAGAGCCTGATGAATGCAGGGCTTGAACCCATGAATCACGAGATCATGACCTGAACTCAAGTCCACTGCTTAACTGAGTGGCCCACCCAGGCACCCCTTTGTTTTTCTGTTTTTAAACTGCATGGTAATTCCAGTCTGTGGTCATGTTTAAGCCATTATTAAGCCATTATTGGTGGCCATTTAGAAAAATGTTATTTTTTTTTTAATATTTTTTATTTATTTCTAGGAGAGAGAGAGAGAGAGAGTGTGAGCAGGGGAGGGTCAGAGAGAGAGGGAGTCACAGACTGAAACAAGCTCCAGGCTCAGAACTGGCAGTCAGCACAGAGCCCGACGCGGGGCTCGAACCCACGAACCGCGAGATCATGACCCAAGCGAAAGTCGGACGCTTAACCGACTAAGCCACCCAGGCGCCCTGAAAAATGTTATTTTTTATAATAATTTTAATAAATTGTTCAAAGTAGGAAGTAAGCACTTCTGGCTGGGGTATCAGAGAAATCTTTACTGAGATAGGATTTGAGCTGGGTCTTAGTACTTGTATTAATGAGTGCCTTATTGGTATAAGAAACAAAAACCAAAACTGTTAGGAGAGCTACTGAGTATTTAAATTATGTAGTTAAAATACTTTAGTGTGTATTTTAGTCTTATCTGTTTGATAGAGGTTGATTCTATTGCTTATCTGCATGTTCTCTTTATTATAGTGGTGTTTTGAAAATGCTCGCTTTCTTGAAAAAAGCTAGACTTTCTTCTTTTGATTATTAGAGGATATCTTAAGTTAATTTTTAGGACACTTCAGATCGGAAGAAAAGATGGCTTGCTTGTTAATTAGTGATAATTACTTTAGGTATTGAGGGAGTAGTAAGTCATTTAAACTTTAAAAGTGTAGGTAATTCTCAGGGGAAATAAATTTTTAAATGTTCATAATTAGTATGATTGCATATTAGAGATATTAAATTCTACTTTCCAAAATATGCTTAAACCAATTTTAGCAAAGGAAAACTTTACCAAATTTTGCTTGCCTCTTTCTTGATACTTTCTGGTCCTAAATTGAAATGGGGCAAGATAAGATATATTCTGCAGTTGCTCTTCATAATATTTTATATGACTAATCTACAAAACCAGGAGTCTTTGAAAATACATGTTCTTAACTATATGAAGTTGTTGCTGTATTTATGTGCGTTGAAATTCTGTCAAAGTTGAGAAATTACCATATTTTTTCCAACTCCTACACATAAATCCAGTTCATAAAATTAGCCAGCCACCATGAAAGGAACCTCACTTATAGAATGGAAAGATCGTTATTAATGTTTGTTACATACCCTCTGTATTGTTTTCGAGGAGAACCTCTTGATTGTTATTTCTCTTTCAGCCTTGTGAGTTGCACAGTACACCTCAGGAAAAAAAAAGTTACCTTCCCCCTCTTGACTTTTACATTACAAAAACTTAATGGTCTTTAAATATATATATATTTCGGCAAGAAACGTTAAAATTCAATTACATGTAACTTTTCTTTATTTTAGTTAGATAATTAAATTCCTCATGTGAGAGCATTAAGGGAGCTATAGAGCATTATGGAGTTCTCTGCCTTCAAAGCTCTTACAAAAATTAAGGCATATATTAAGTTAAGCAATAGTATTAGATTGTAAAGTATTGGTGGTAAATAGAATAAGTGGAGTATGAATTAAGACAACTAGATCATTTTGGAATTAATTCAGTAAAAATTAAGCAGGAAAGGGAAACACTATTTGCATTAGGTCTTGAATGAATTTAGATAACCAAACAGAAGTGGAAAGGATGGGAATACACACCCAGAAAAATGGAACAACTTCAAACTGGCATCTTGGAGGAAAATATCAGGAGTTGTGTTGAAAAATAGGATAGAAAAAATAAATTAGAAGCAGTCTAAGGGTTTAGGATCCAAACAAAGGAATTTTAATGAATCTTTGAAGTGTAGATAACATATGGTCACATTGACTGAAGACACCCCCTTCTAAATTTGAGGCATTGAAACAAGAAGTTTAGAATAATAAAACCTTTGCTGTTTGTTTTCTAAGTAGGCTCCATGCCCAACATGGGGCTTGAACTCACAACCCTGAGCTTGAGAGTCGCATACTCTACTGACTGAGCCAGCCAAACACCCCCAACTTTGTTTTTTCTTGAAGTATCTTGTGTCAGTTTTATTGCAGTGGGACTAACTACCCAAAAACATAGTAGCTTTAGAATAAGAGGTGTTTGTTTGGGGCTGGAACTCACAACCCTGAGGTCAAGAGTCACGTGCTCTAACAATTGAACGAGCCAGGTGCTCCAGAAGAATAGCTGTTTTTATTACTGTTCTCAAGTCTGTGGGTCTGTTGGGTGGTCTGCAGTCACCTGGTAGGTTGTCTGGGGCTGAATGGTCCCAGATGGTCTCACTCATTTGTCTTGTGTTTGTTAGGTGGGTTGGTCAAGGTTCCTGAGTTGAGTTGGCTCATCTGCTCCACTCTTATCATCTAGTGAGGTAACATAGGATTTCTTTATATGGGAGGAAGAACACAAGTTCTATTGCACGACTGTTTTTTTTTTTTTTTAATGTTTTTTAACTTTATTTCTGAGAGAGAGGGAGAGAGAGAGAGATAACATGAACAGGGAAGGGTCAGAGAGAGAGGGAGAGGGAGATACAGTATCTGAAACAGGCTCCAGGCTCTGAGCTGTCAGCACAGAGCCCGACGTGGGGCTCGAACCCATGAACCATGAGATCATGACCTGAGCTGAAGTCGGACGCTTAACCAACTGAGCCACCCACGTGCCCCTGCACGACTGCTTTTTAAACCTCTGCTTGTGTTGTATTTGCCATGGTCCCTTTGGGTACATACAAGTGGTCAAACCCAGCTTCTTTTGACTTTAGGAAGATGTGATTCTTGGGGGATCATTTATGTAATGATCTACCACATATCTCATTTTCCTTTATTCCCCATTGCAATTTCAGGCACTTTTGTAGGTCAAATAAAAAATTTTCCTCTCTGTAGCCCTGTAGCCTGTCTTTGCTTTTTTTTTTGGTCACTCATATTCTGTAATCAAAGCACATCTCTCTGTTCCTTTTCTCTTAGGTTAGCAAAAGACATTTTCATTCTTTTTTTTTTTTTAAGATTTATTTAACATTTATTTATTTATTTTGAGAGACAGAGAGAGCAGCACGTGTGTGAGGGAGGGGCAGAGAGAGAGGGAGAGAGAGGGAGTCCTAAGTAGGCTCCGAGCTATGGTGAGATCATGACCTGAGCTGAAATCAGGAGTCAACCACTTAACCAACTGAGCCACACCCAGGAGCACCATATAATCCGTTTACTAATCTCATTCTTTATTAAAAAAATTTTTTTAATGTTTATTTTTGACAGAGAGAGAGAGGGAGTGGGAGGGAGAGAGGGAGGGAAGGAGGGAGGGGCAGAGAGAGAGAGGGAGACAGAATCTGAAGTAGGCTCTGGGCTCTGAGCTGTCAGCACAGAGCCTGATGCAGGGCTGCAACCTACAAACTATTGGATCACGACCTGATCCAAAGTCAGATGCTTAACCAACTGAGCCACCCAGGCTCCCCTAGTCTCATTCTTTATATAGAAGAAGGATATACCTACTACATCACTCAAACTTTGGAAAATTTGTAGAATAACCTCTTTATTTGCAATAGTTCACCTTAATATAAAATTTGGTCATAATTTGGTGTTTTTGTTGTGCTGTCTATACATTGTACAGTCCAATAATAGCATCCTAGTTCTTATCCTAATCTTTGGCCTTCTTTTTTTCTTAACCGATGAACTTGCTTTTAAACTTTCTATTTATGAAATTCCCCCAATATCTTGCTTTTATCTCTCTACCTAATTGCCAGTCCAGTACTTATAACAGTGTTTCTCAAATTAGAGTTTGCAGAAACCCAAGAGAGTGAGTCTGTAGATCTTAGAGTTACAAGTTTTGACCTCAGCTGATAGTAAGATTAAGATGTTAATTCTTTAACTTCATCACTTAGTTGTCAAACTCAACTATCGCAAAACCATATATATCCTTACTATGTGTGATGCATTCTATTTTATTATTTTGAAAAGCTCCTCTTGATTTTATAGTCCACTGATAGTCATAACCAACAGTTTGAAAAATACTACTTTTAGGGGCATCACTGTGCTCAGTTTAGTAGTTAAGTACAAAGGTAGGCAGACCTGAGTTTATAAGGTGACCTTCTAGTCTTGCTGATTCAGAATATTCTTATATTTTATTTAGGAGGAGCATCAAAATTAAAATACAGTTTTAAGTTTACAGTGAAAGCTAGAAACTCTGCATTATGGCCGTAGAACCCAATTTGAGAAATACTGGTGCATAGGATAACATACAAATTTAAGCCTTAGCCCAGGACTCTCTTTGCTCTGTTGTTTACTTTTATCCATCCTTTCAGTGTTCAACAGGAACTTTCTGCTCCATCTAAATTGGTCTCTTCATTCCTTATAGCATACCTGTTCGTTTTATGTCCTTTGTGACTTGACTTAGAGGAGCAGTGTTATGTAGTAGAAAGCCAGATGGATTTCATTTCAAATATGAGCTCTTCAGTAGTCTGGACAAGATCTTCAGCTCATGCTTTCTATGAAAAATTAAGGCTGGGGTGAGAGTGAAGCTTGGAGTTGGAGGCTGGACTAAGCAAATTGAAGAGGAATGATATTTAATGTTCAGAACAGGTACTAATATTAGATGCTTTACTAACAGCAAATTGTTTAATCTGAAGACCTGTGAGATCATAGGATTAAATACCATTCGGTTTGTTTAAATGTCCCACTTAATCCAAATTGCCTCCTAGGATCTCATTGTTACTATATAATACATGTTTGGCATGACACTGAATCATTAGAAAATGTTAAATTTTATTAGGCATTTGTTTAGGAAGACAGATATTTGGTAATGGCTAAAATGAAGCAGTTCAATTATCTGGACACTGTATTCATGTGGAACATTCGGCATCCTTATTGATGCTTGACATAGGCAATAATATATAACTTTATATACTCTTTAGATAACTTTATAACTCTTAGATACAGGTTTTGTATTTATAAAGAAGTAATCTAAATTTAAAAGTGGTAATTAATAATTGACTTGATTCCTACCACAGTTTTATGAGGATATTTGGAAGTTAGCATATCAGATATTTAAATTAAGTCCTGTAGTAATTGTGATTTACCAAGGTTATTTGAAGCAGATATTTGTGGTGTTTTAAAAATATTTTTAATTAAAAAAATTTTTTAGTGTTTACTTATTTTTGAGAGAGAGAGAGACATAGTGTGAGCAGGGGTTGGGCAGAGCGAGAGAGGGAAACACGAAATCTGAAGCAGGCTCCAGGCTCTTAGCTGTCAGCACCAAGCCCACGTGGGCCTTGAACTCGCAAACCATGAGATCATGACCTGAGCTGAAGTTGGATGCTTTACAGACTGAGCCACCCAGGTGCCTCTGTAATTTTTTGGGAGAGTGAATACACCTGTGTGGATGCGGGGCGGGGTGGGGGGGGGGGGGGCAAGTAGAGGGAGAGAGAATTTTATTTTTTAAGTTTATTTATTTATTTTGAGAGACAGTGAGCGTGCGAGCACAAGTTGGAGAGGGGCAGAGAGAGGGAGACAGAGAATCCCAAGCAGGCTCCATGCTGTCAGCCCGGAGCCTGGTGCAGGGCTTGAACTCACAAACCGTGATATCATGACCTGAGCTTAAATGAAGAATTGGATGCTTAACTGACTGAGTCACCCAGGTGTCCTTATTTATTTACTTTTGAGAGAGGGGCAGAGAGAAAATTTCAAGCAGGTCTGCACTGACAGTGCAGATGTAGGGCTTGAACTCATGAACTGTGAGATCATGACCTGAGCCAAAATTAAGAGTCAAGTGGTTAACCAATGTAACCACCCAGGTGCCCTGCAGATATTTGTGATTTTTGAAAGACAATTACTTCCATTAAATAGGAATGATTTTACTGCCTTTTTAGGTGAGCTATTATTATCATCAAAACCAGGTGTTTAGAATTTTATTTTATTTATTTTAGAGAGAAAGAAGCGTACACTTGAGCTGGGGAGTAGGGCAGAGGGGGGAGAGAGAGAGAATCTTAAACAGGCTTCATGCTTCGCTTGGAGTCCTGTCCTGTGACCCTGGTATCATGACCTGAGCCAGAATCAGGAGGGGCACTCAACTGACTGAACCACCTAGAGGCTCCTAGAATTTTATTTACTCCAAATTAATAGCTTACATTTTGTATTTTCTGTATAAGCGTTTGTACATATTCTTGATCTTTCCCTAAGTTTTGCAAATATGGTCTCAGTCAGTGAAAATCCTGAAACATCACATGTTTAACTGAAAAGCATTAACATTTTGTCAATTCATATTCTGCAAAATACAAATTGTAATTTAATTTTTTTGAATAAAGCTTTCACAAAATTATATCTCTACAGAATAAAACATAGTGTTTAATAAAGTACTTGTTAAAGTCGATACTTAAGTAGTTTGAATTTTGTGACGTACCATGACTTATCCAAACCATATTTGTGTAACTTTATTTTAAAGCTCTGTTAGGGAAATTTAAAAACAAGTATTGCCTGCCTAAAATGGGGTATTACACCTAACAACAGATACTATGAATGCAATTGGTATCCTCAAATTGATCGTGAAGTTCTTGGTTAGTATGAAGATATTTTGTAGGAAACAGTTCAGAATACTTGTGTCATAACTAGTGTGTCTTTAGTAATTAAGAATTCACCCTAGTATGTAAAATTGAGTATGTTGGCAAGAAGTGAGTCAGACCTAGCATATTCAATATTATGACTTGTTTATAAAATATTTCTGAAAAGGTGACCTGATGTAGTAAATGCTAAGGAGAAATTAAGAAAAATTTTTTTTAATGTTTATTCATTTTTGAGAGACAGAGCGCAAGCAAGGGAGGGGCAGAGAGGGAGATTTTGAAGCAGACTCCAGACTCTGAGCTGTTAGCACATTGCCTGATGTGGTGCTTGAACTTACAGACTGTGAGATCGTGACCTGAGCCGAAGTTGGAAGCTTAGCCAATTGAGCCACCCAGGCATCCCAAAGAGAAATTATTATTATTATTATTATTTTTTAATGTTTTATTTATTTCTATGAGAGAGAGAGAGACAGCCTGAGCAGGGGAGGGTCAGAGAGAGAGGGAGTCACAGACTGAAACAGGCTCCAGGCTCTGAGCAGGCAGACAGCACAGAGCCCGAAGCGGGGCTAGAACCCACGAACCGCGAGAACATGACCAAAGCGAAAGTCGGACGCTTAACCGACTAAGCCACCAGGCGCCCCAAGAGAAATTATTTTTAACACAATAAGACATCTGAGGATTTGCCTATCTTCAGTAAACCATTTGTGGTGTTTGCCCCCCCCTTCAAATCATCTTTTATAGATGTTGTTTTACTTGAAAGAAACTCTGCTCTTTACATCCAGTCTTTAATATATACTTAGTTTGACAGACCATTAGATAATGTGAATTAATGGCTTGGATTCTAAGGACACTGCTTTTAATTCTCACAAAATTGTTTATTGTGACCCTAGGCATGCTACTTATAATTTTTCTTTGTTTCTTTATCCTTGAAAAGGAAACGATACAGACCTTCGTTGTAAGAATTGATAGAAGGACAGTTATTTTAAATGATTGTTAAAATATAAAAACATTTTCATTTACACTTAGAGACTACTTTGGAAACACCTTTGATGTTTTATATATAATGACCCAGCATAATTTGAAAACAATAATTTTGTTATTTTCAATACCATCTATTAACATCACTTTGAAAAATAACATTTAATTACTGATTTACCCAATTTTTGAAGTCTGTATTCTAGGAAGGTGGAATTCGATCTTAAAATTGATTAAAAAAATCTTTTGATTTTGGTGGTGTGAAGGGGGAGAGATTACTTTGTAATCCTGTATGGCTTTACCATTGAAACCTTTCCTTTGTCCACAGTTTGAAAACTGGGATTGGAGAGGCATGGAATGAGAGAAGGTATACTACATTGTAACTAAAAGTATAGATTTTGAACTAAAACTCCCTTTTGGACTTCAGGCTTGCTTTTGTGTCTATATCCTCATCTACAGCCTGGAGGTAGTAAGATCTGTGTTCAGGCTGTTGTGTAATTTAAGGCATAATGTTTGCTGATCACTTTGTATATTATGATGCTGGAAGTACATAGTAAATGCTAGCATATCATGCACTTAAGAGGGCTTGATCTGGAATTGTCCTTCATAAAAGAACATTAATCTTAATGTTAATAAAATACTCTTTAGTTTATTATCTAGATAGTGGTTTTAAAAAACTAAAAAAAAATTGTTAAGGGAACTCCTTCCCTATACCTCAGAGTCTTACTTGATATCTTGATATGTAAAACAGTAAAGTTTGACAAAGGCTGATCTAGCATATAAACAGTATCATTGCCAAGGATTACAAAAGGGTTTCAGGCATACTTCTTTTCTGACATTATTTTCTTAAACAAGTGGAATTTTTCCCCCTTATTTTTCTTAATTTTACTACTTATCTGTATTCTGGTGAGGAATAATGAATGACATAATAAAGACATCACTAAGAATTTTCATGTATTTAATTTTTAAAGAGTTTTAGTTGTGCTGCTTACTTTTGTTTTACATAGTATGGCACATTAAATAAACTCATATTTTTGGCACCTAAGATTTAAAATAAATTTATTTCTCTGGAAGCATGGCACAGACATGTATATTGTCTGAATAGTGAAATTGTGCCTTTTCAGGGGAACAATAAATGTTAAATAATAGTGAAACTTAAAACAATTTTTTTAAATAGTGAAACTTACACACAAATAGTTCTATACTTACTCATTGCTAAGGTTTAAATCTTTTAAAGTTTATTGAGAAGACCTGCGGCATCTTACACATTCCCCCAGATCTTCATCTTACTTTCTCTGGAGCTTTCATTTTCTTCCTAGGGTTTCCAGAGAGGTGGGATTTTCCCAGGAAAGTGGATCTTTTCATTAGCGCAGCTAATTCTCCACCCCCTCAGAGAACCTTTCCACTTTTCCTGTGTCTTCATCATTTTTCTTTCCATCATTCCTGACCTTCAACCTGCAGATATGTGTGTCTTTCATCTTTTTGCCTTGTTGTCATTTATCTTTTTTCTCCCTTTCTCTTTAAGTCTGTTTTGAAAGAAAGGGGGAGAGTGGTAGTGGGGAAGGGGTAGAGAGAGGGAGAGACAGAATCCCAAGCAGGTTCTGCACTGTTACTGCAGAGCCCAATGGGGCTTAAACTCAAAAACCATGAGATCATGACCTAAGCTGTGATCAAGAGTTGGATGCTTAAACGACTGAGCCCACTCAGGTGCCTCTGTTGGTCATTTATATTAAGATTTTTTCCATTTTCTTTAAGCCAGTCTGTCTCTTCACATATGAGACTTCCACCTTAAAAAGAGGTGTTTTAACTGTTTTCTACTCTTTACTGCCACAATTCTTGGAAAAGTACCATATGTGTTGTCTTTATTTCTTACCTTCCTTTGCAGTTTGGATTCTACCCATTGTGCTAAAGAAAAATGTTTGTTTTAAAGGTCATTTGCTCAGCATATCTATAATACT